TATTTTTTATAAAGATATACCACAAAGTTCATTCAAAAGCGAAAACCACAAGAATATTATTTTTTTAATGTCATACATAACTCGGGAAAATGCAAGAAATTTTCAACTTTTCAGTTCGATTCCTTAGAAACTTTTAGTAAGCAGTTTTGTAAATTTTAGCGTAGTAAAATGCAGCAAAAAAATCTCAAAAATCAACGTTAATTTTTAACTACTTTGAACTTGCACTTTATTATACTAAAATTTACAAAACTGCTTACTCAAAATGTTTCTAAGGAATCGAAATGAAAAGTTGCAAATCTCTTGCATTATTGCATGGCGTATTGTTGATGCTGGCTGTATATTCCAAATGGCTCATGTAAATCTTTATATTTTATGAAATATTTTGGTGAAAGTCTTAAAATATAATACAATTTACAACTCCGATGGAAAAAAATCGCCGATTTTTTTTATGAAGAGTGATGCTCTCGAATATACATACATATATGTACATATTTATGTATATTACAAATACATATGTATATCTATGTAGATAAGATATAGTCTAGTAATAGGAAATAAAAGAAATGAATTGTCAACCAAACAGAATTTTGTTTATATTATGAAAATGCTTTTGTAGGTATGCATCTTCCAAAATTTATGTTAGGCTATAAATATATACATACAGTTGTTCACAAAATAATAGACGTGCGATATCTTGACCACTTTTGACTATTTGTGTTTTGTTTATTTAATGCTTATTATTTTTTTATAAAAGTCTAGCTGGTTATACAACAAATACCATATAAATTAATATTTAAAACTTTGTACAAAAATTATAAGAAGTATACAAAGTTTCACCAAAATTTCAAACTTTTTAATCAGAATCTTTAGAAAAAATTTTTGTATTGTGTTTTGTAGCCATTAAGATGTAGTGCATAAAGCGTAAGTTTCAAGTCAAGTTTTAAATATTAATTTATATGGTGTTTGTTGTATAACCAGCAAGACTTTTATAAAAAATAATAAGCATTAAATAAACAAAATAAACTGAAAACTACTGTACATATCGTATATGGTATTCGCATTGATATTGGCCTTCACGCCAATACCTATGCGAATATCAACCGAACGCGAATTCGAATATTAATACAGTAACTGGAACTCCTGGTATTCGTTTATAACCTGAAAAAAATAATTTACATTATTTATCCGTGGCTTAATGAGCTGACTTATGTATAAACTAACCTTGCAAAATAGTCTCTGATTAGACTCGACCTCATAAAAGATACTCCTGGCGTTTCGGTTGTGGATTCATCTGCCTCCATTACTCTTCAGGAGTAAAATTCTCTTCTTCGGACGGATCCGCATCTCTATTTTGCCGCGCGATGTTATGTAAAATACCGCAGGCTACAATAATTGCCATAATGGTATTTTGCGAAACTCTTAATCCTGCGGTAAGCACTGGAAAGCGACGCCACACGCCAAAGCATCTCTCTATGCAATTTCTGGTTCTGATTTGATTCTCGTTATACAACCGTTCCGCATCAGTTTTGGGATGTAAAAGCGGCGTCATCATGTATCTACTGACACCATACCCACTATCGCCTAGTATAAAGCAATCCTTGAATTGATTTAGCTCAAAACTTAATGCTTAATACGGCTATTATTAAAAATGTTGGCATCATGTGCGGAGCCAGGCCATCGACATACAAGATCAGTTATCTCCAGATTTGCATTGCAGACTGCTTGTACATTATACGAAAAGTACCCTTTCCAATTTCCGAATATTTCCGCGTTTTCTCCACCAGGTGATTGGATCTTCACATGGATGCAGTCTATACATCCAACGACTTTTGGGAAATTTGCAATCTGATGAAAACTACGATTAACAATTTCCAATTCTGCACTGTTTTTTGGCATTTTAATATACTCTCTCGAAAGTCCTGCAATTGCATAGGAGACTTTTTTGACTACTTGGCTTGCAGTGGACGTACTCACTCCACAGAAATCAGCGACTGTAATTAAAAAGCTTCCTGATGCTTAGAAGTGCAACGCTAGCAATAACATTTCAGATGGGCTAAGTGCGTAAAACGTAAGTTCTGTAAAACGAATTTTATTAATACAAACGATGCTATTTTTAATATACATACATATGTAAATCATATTTCCACAAACCTTTGAGTGTAATTTCGAATTTTTCTTTGAATTCTTTCCAAAATATACAGAGCACTTTTTTTTAAAGACGGAACCTTTTAATAAATGTATACTCGTTATATTCCTCAAAGAAATTTGCTTTCGCTCCATATGTTCGTGGTTTTCTTATAAAGCGCATCGAATCCAAATTGGAAATAATAGAAAGCCCAATTATATGATCCATAATTATAAAAATGTGCGTGTAAATTACAATAAATTAATTTTTGATATTTTTGACAGCATTGTGACGTCACTTTTTGATCGGTTAATCGGTTGTTAACCGACGAATTTGTGCTAACCGGGCATTGAAAAAACGCATTTTCACCAAAACGCCGATTAACTCCCGTTTAGGCACTAATCAGTCTTTAAGAAACCGGCCCTAAACCTACTTCCCTACAAGACGCGATTGACAGAAACTCCAACACATTCACAACGAAAACTAACACATACGCAAAATTTTATATATCAGTTTGGCCCTGTAGTGAATGACTGTCATTTGATCGATCAAGTGAGTGGCAATGCTGATAGAAGTAACGGTTGCTGGTTGCCATAGTAACCGCAAGATTCACTAGGGCTGCATTTTGTGCTCAACAAAAGTAGTTGTACCTGCCAAATAGACAGTTTTCCCACTAATTAAACAGTTTTTCCACTAATTTAACCGATAATCACAGGTCAAGCTTCTTGCAAAAAAAATCAAATATCGTGCCATGAAATATCGATATTCAGAATAATCGATACGATATCGAACATTCCTAGTTGTGATTATGGCCCTTATTATGAGTTGCATTGGATTTTCGATCTTCGCTGGTTATCGAAGATCGAACCTGAAATTCGTATTATGAGCTATGCAACCGTGTCGAAATTTTCGTTGAGTATTGAATTTTCTGTCGAACAGAATTTTGCTTTCCATGGTGTAGCGAAGTGTTAGAAAATTGTGAAAAATGTATAATTTTGCATTTGTTTTCTTACTTTTTGGCGGTTAGACACTAATTTTAAACAATTTTAGTTAATTTTATGCAGTTCTAACGTCGTGAATACTAAACACAAGCTCGGAAGGCTGGTTTTACTTGTGAAAGAAAATCTCAATACTCAGCTGGTACGATCTCTGAGAACAAAAGCATAGAGCTGTTTATAGTTTATTAGTTATTTTAAATAGATTTGGATCACACAATTTCTTAAATGCATTGTATGTCAAAATATATTCGAAAGGCTACACTTAAACTCTCTTAAACGTTTTCTGCTCCAGGCCAGTTTTCTAAGCTATCATCGTCTGACGAATCGTTCATCCAGAACTCCGTTGTACTAATTTTTACCACGTTTTTATAAACTCGCTATATTTTTTATTTCATTTTAGTTTGCTCAAATTTACATAAATATGTATAAGCACACTAGTTAATTTGCTCGATTTGTAAACAAAGCTTGTCAGCAGCGAAAAATATACTATTGTGAACAACCTAAACGAGCGAAAATTCACAATAGCCATAATACGAAATGAAAATTCGTTCGATCAGCACTTTCGACCACAGTCGAAAATCGAATGCAACTCATAATAGGGGCCTATACATGATGCAATAATAGGTCCATTCCTTATCTTTTCGTACTAAAATCTGAAAAGTCGCAAAATGCAAGAGGGTATACAAAATGCGCTCACTAAAAGAGAATAACAGGAAAAAGTAAAGGAACGCAAAAGCCCAAGATTTTAGTCCAAAGAATGGCAACAACAAAACTAATGTCAAATAAGAATAGAAATGTATGTACAAAACTATACTATTACTATATCAATTATTTTTTGCCTCCTTCGACTTTCAATTCACTTTTTTTACTTTTTAGATTATTCTCACTTCTCTTCTTCAGTTGAGTTTGACACTTTTCAAGATTTTGCCAGCAAAAATTCTTCTGACTAAATCTGAAACACTTCGGACTGAAGAGAGTCACTCTCACTCACATTTTTGCTGTCATTTTCGAGTTGACCGCAAAACTCCACAGGCAAACACCGATGGCCTACCAACTGCCATTTTGACGAGAAATATGATTGCCAGTTTTTGTGTGTGGGCACTTTGATGTCTTGAAATAAGCATTTGCCGCATGACGCCACCAGACAACATTCTCTCAATTTCGGTGTTTAAAAACATTTAAATCTTTAAACAACTTGCTGAATAATTTTCTTAAACGTAATCATAAATAATCCAATAGGAAACAGATTTTTATTTTGATTTAATATCAAGATTGCATCGATGTTACCACCAGCACGCTTTCTTTCAAATGAAAATATGGCTGTCAAACTATCGAATTGCCTGCAATAGATTTCAAGCAATAAGCGCTGACATATGTTGCAGCCCATGAGAAATAGGCAGTCTCCATTGGAAATATATTTTGTGACATGGTTGTGATAACCATGTGTTTTCCTGTGGTCACAGGGCCTTAGGAACGCTTTTTGGACTAAATCTGACTACTTCGGACTTTTTCTGACTATTTCTGGGAGATAAGGAACGCAACTAATACAAGGTGTTATCGGTTGGCAACCTCTCGCTCTAATTCCCCATATTGACTGCCTTAGGAGAAACAGTGTTATTTCTTTAACAATTCTTTGCCTAATAATATATTTTTATTTTTTTTATTTTTTCATTGCATTTCATTTATTTCGGTTCAGGCATTAGTACAATAAGATTCAATCTTTTATAGTACAACAATGATAAAAGTAAAGATAATACTTATTTATTTATATATTGAAAATTCAAATTCTAAAATATATACAAACGCATATGACACATTCAATTAAACAGAGATAACACGGACACATAAAACTTATAACATATAAACAAACATTATGGTATAATTATAATTATTTGGGCCAAATTCTTATTTGTTATGTTTGCTGGGTTGGAGCTGCTTCGGCCGATAGAGTTAAAAAAGCGAAAAAATTAAATTTTCCTTTTACCCTCCTACGCGTTTCAACGCTCACGCGTCTTCATCAGGGAGTCTTTATTCGAAAAATAAAAACAAATAAACAATAAACATGATTAGCAAGTAAAATTCGCTGATGCAAAAACAATAAACATAGTTAACGGTAATTACTTTACACTAATTCTGACTTTGAACTCACATTTACATAAATATTATTGGCAAAAATTTTTTAACAAACGATAAACTTTAGCACCATTTTAAGTATCTTTTCAACAATATTACCAAATTCGAATCCTATATTCTTATTTATATTTGTTATTGATTACAGCTGCATACACGTTGTTGGTGTTATCTACGTCCTCTTTAAAGTTGATCGCATTCTCAAGTCTTTGTTGTATACGTAGGCTTTCTAATGTCATTCTCCTTTTTACCCCTCTTTCGGTGTCCAAAATTCTCGTATTCCCGAAGTCCGCAAAGTGTTCGTGCTTCGTCAAGTGTTGTGCCAGTGCTGTTGTCATCTTTTGTTTCTCTCATCCGCTTTATGTTCGCTTATTCTTGTACCCAATGATCTTTTTGTTGTGCCTACGTAGCATTTGTTACAGCTTTCGGTATCATTTCCCTTACATTCTATTTGATACACCACATTATGTTGTTGTTCCTTCAGAATTCTGTCTTTTGTTTTAGTGTACAGTTTGCTTATTATGTTGTGCGGTCTGTGAGCATATGTAATATCTTCATTCTTTATAGTTCTCCTGAGCGCCTGGTTATTTGTTAGTCCTGGTACGTAAGTTACTCCAATGTACTTTTTATTTTTAATTGTGTTGTTAGCCTGAAGATCTTTATTTTGATTTGTTTGTTTACTTTTGTTTATCGTCGTTTCTATTAAATTGTTAACTAGCGCATGCGGGTAGCCGTTTTTGTGCAGAATGCTTTTAATTTTATTTTTGTTCTCCTCATACTAAAAGTATTGAATGCACAAAACACAAAAATTAAATTTACGGTTGAAAGAGAGAAAGACAATAAAATTGCCTTCCTAGACATAGAGGTGCATAGAAAACGGAATACAATATTGCTAAACTGGCATGCGAAATCCATCGCGTCGGGTAGACTTATTAATTTCCATTCAAATCACCCATGGAATCAGAAAATAAACACCGCTGCTAGCCTGATCAAAAAGGTGTACATACTAAGCAACAACGAGTTCGCGGAGGAGAACTTACATCCTGGAATGGACCAGATAAGTATATCTGGAGATCATCTGCATATGTATGAGCATTTACATATCGGAAAGTCAATAAAATATTGACGAAAGCGCTAAATAGCAACGGACCCAAAGTGGACCCTGGGGAACGCCACAGATCACAGACTTTGTCTGTGAGGATACTGAGCCAATCTTCACACGCTGGGTTCTGCCTGATAAATAACTTTTCATGAGGGACAGTGCATTTTTGCCAAAGCCGAAGTAGTAAGTGAGCTTTGAGCAGAGCAATGTATTATCAACGGAGTCAAATGCTTAGGAGAAGTCTAGCATTAGATTTGATTTTCAGTATACATCTAGCCACATCACATTCTGTTACGGTTGAAAATTCAAACGGTACGCCCAGGTATGAAGCGGAAGTTCACGGAACAAATTGAGACAAGCCACCATTAGACATAGCACTAGAAACAAACACATCATTCAGACTATCAACATTCAACATACATTCAGTTTTTTCATTAGCTTGTATTCGAAGGTTTTTAATAGGGTGACACCGAGGGAAGAGAGGAATCTAGCTTGGCTGATAAGAATCTTTGCTTTTCAGCTCTAACAATTGCAGTGGCTTTATTTCTTGCCACGCGAAAAGAGTCCCAGTTAGCTTTTGAGCGATTTTGCTTCCAAAGGCGATAAGCTTTTGTTCGCGCTTTTATAGCTTCCCTGACTTTGGTGTTAAACCAAGGACAAGGTGATGCTTTACCATAACGCAGCGGAACGTAAGTATGGTAGAGAGACACCAATTTATTATTTAAAAAATCGAGTTTTTCATTTACAGAGCCAAAATACCAACATTCATTCCAAACAACATTTTCTAGCTCCAAACGCAGTGCATTTAGGTTGATTGAGCGAAAGTCTCTGAAGGTATACACTTTTCCACTGCAAGAATCACTAAAGTGAATGTCAAAAGAGCAAAAAGTTAAATCATGAAATTTGGTCAAATTTTAACACAGAGGAATGATCGGACACGACAAAATAATCAAGAAGACTAGGATTACAATTATTACAGAATCTAGTAGGTGTTGAAGAATTAACGATGGAGAGACCAAGATTTGAGACATCATCTGAGAAGGAGGAACATATTTTATCACGGACAAGAATATTGTTATTAAAATCACCACAGAGTATAACATTATCATAGTCAATAAGCATCGTGGACAGTTTCTCAAATAAAGGACTTGTACAAGAGGATCTATTAGGATTATACACACAAGAGGCAAGAACTTTTTTTAGGCGATCGGTCAATTCAACAAATAAAAACTCAATTTCCTCAGTACTTGATTCGCAAACAAGCTTCATGTTTATGTGGTTCTTGCAGTAAATTGCAACACCGCCACCTCTTTTGCCAATTCGATCATTTCGCATAAGCTTATAATTTCTTATGCTAAAGTGGACATCACTAACATCCTTAGGGAACCAAGTTTCTGACACGCATATAACATCAACAGCGGAGTGCTCAAACACATATCTGACATAATCCATTTTTACACTATTTAAGCTACGGGCATTAAAATGGACAATGTTAAGCCCACGCTGTTGTCTACATAACACATTTAACATAACAAGACTGTTATCATCAACGCTATTGATCTTACCATCACCAACCATCATACAGCAAGTAAACAAAAGCAACTTCAAAATAAGAACAAACACATGCAGTGTACGAGAGAAGAACGAAGAGATGAACNAAAAGCAACTTCAAAATAAGAACAAACACATGCAGTGTAGGAGAGAAGAACGAAGAGATGAACCACCTTTACAACATTAAACATATTAAAACACATGCTTAAGCTAAGAGTAAAGAAACAAGATATAAAATAAATTAAAATAAACGTAGACCGTTAGCATAAATTATGCAAATCAGTGCGCGTATCAATTTTCTGCGCAGGTAAATTTTTGTCAACTTTGACATATACAGCGCCGCGCAGCGTAAATACTGATGCCAGCTTCCCCTCTCTCCTTAGTGATATAGCCTCCTGCAATGTCTTCCTGGTATCGGCAGCCAAGCTCTCAAATAGCGAAAATTTTCCCTCAAGGCCAACAGCAGTAAGAGAAATTATAGACTTAGTTCGCTTTCTGTAGTCACTAAAAGCACGAAGAGTTCGGTTGCGATCAAGCGGGGGAAAAAAATATTATCACAACTGCGCTGTTAGGGTTGTTGTTGGACGGCTAAGTTCGGAAAATATCCCATACTTGGGGAACAAGAAAATCGATGGATAGACATATAAGATTAAATACGCTCTTCAAATTTTCTCCCTCAGTATATGGAATGCCAAATGCAATAGCATCAGCAGCGATATCGGGAGCGAATTTTTTGTTTTCCGCCTTTTCAATTTCAGCTTTCAGTCGCTGCACTTCAGTTTCAAAACTCTGTTGTTTAGCTTCCAAAGCTGCAATCCGCTCAGCAGATTCTATTATTTTTGAAGAGAGCACAGCAACTTCAGTATCAATCTTCTTACTCAGCGCCCTATCAACCTCCGTTACCTTAAATGATATACTATCGAAGAGAGACTCTAGCTTGTCGGACTGCCGCTGTTTCTTCAAGCTCACGAATTGCTCTTAATATTGATGGAAGAGCAGCACTCGTCTAGTTTTACAGTTTTGGATGTCGGAGAACTTTTGCTTAAGCATCTTTTAGCGCCAGCAGATGGAGTGGATCNAATATTGATGGAAGAGCAGCACTCTCGTCTAGTTTTACAGTTTTGGATGTCGGAGAACTTTTGCTTAAGCATCTTTTAGCGCCAGCAGATGGAGTGGATGGCATACCTTCAAGTTTAAGTTTACACCAACAATAGAGCAGAAAGAATAATTAATTAAGCGTAGGCACAAAATCTTAGTTCAGATGAGCTTTTGTTCAGCAACAGGTAATCCGTCAGCTTGCTAGCGACCGAAAAACACCCAACTATTTATTTAATCAGGGAAAATGGTGATTTAGTGCATTTTTGACGTGGTAATTGCTCATAGAAAACAACGAAATTTAACAAAAGTTTTTTGTTCATAACTTTTAAATGGTTAATAATATTATCTCGCCCCCTCCGGATTGTTATTAGGGGGGCCGAAACGCGTCGTTTGGTACCCATCCCGACTTTTCCGCACCTTTTTTAGGGGTTGTTACCCCACCCTAGAGAGTTACCAGAAATTCTTTTTGCGCAATACAAACCATCACATTTCAGCCCTTTTTCTTTTCTGAAAGCATGTTATGTTATGTTAAGTATCTCCTGCAGCTCCACCTTCCTGCGCTTTATTTCAAGTTTTCCCTCTCGAATTTTCTTTATTTTGAGGTGGTGTCTTTTCTTCTCTTCGACACTACTAACTACATTCTCGTTAAATTTTTTAAATTTGCGATTCAACTCTTTGAGTTCATATTTTATATCTTTTATTGCGCGCACATTCCCTTTATCTTCTGAAATTTTTTTTAGGTCTTCCGCCATCGATGCCATCGCGTTGCTTTTTTCACCCATGTATTTTTTAATGCACTCATTGAAGCTAGGCTCCCGGCGACGTTTCGGTGTGCTGGCTACATTAGGAATAGGAGCAGGGGTAGTGAGAACGCTCGATCTCTCATTCTCGTCATTGCTTGATTCTTCATTTTCCTGTTGCGCAAACTCCCGCGTATTCTCTATACCTTCGACAACTTTAAAGATTCCGCAAATTTGGCCAATTTTCTCTTCAGTAGAGGTAAGCACATACTTATTGTAGGGTCCACCACCCGTAGCTCTGGCTTTAGAGTTGTTGTGTGCGATTTTTTTTGCGGACCGTAGTTTTCCAGTCTATCCAAACCTAGATACATGTTTTGTACAAATAAATAAACGGTCATAGCAATTTTTCTTTGGTTGCTTACCTTTTTCCAACCCATGACGTCTTTTGTAGGCGGTCCATTACTGTTCAGTTCATTTACTAGCTCTCTCCATTGCATGTCACTCTTCGCCTTATCGCCTTTTATGAAGCCTTTGGCCATATCGGGGTTGCTTTCCATAAAGCGGACCATAATGGAGTCCTGCAAGCTGCTTTTGTGCTTACCCCTAAAAATGTAGAATCTTTTGTTAGTTTTCCTTAAATATTTAAACAAAATAATTATACGACTTACATTTTTTGTCTCTTGAATTTAATTTCGCACAGCCAACTGAAAGTGTTTTAAAATACATGTTTTCATGTGCATTCGATTTATAGAGCAGGCAATATTGTTCGATATCATTTCGAAAACGATTACAATTGAAAAAGTAAACCGATAAATGTGGAGCACACAAATGTGAATTCAAATGGAATTCGATATTTTTTTACTCGAATTCAAGATCCAGAGCATGCCTGAATAATACGAAATTCCACGAATGTTTAAAGCGAAACTCGAGCTCAAACAAAACACGTCTCAGTATACACATTTTGAGTTCTCAAAAGGTATTTGATCTTATTTTATTTAATTTCATTACGAATATACTATGAAAAGCAAATTTTGTTTAGAAAAAAATATGAAATTTTATATTTTTCCCCCAAATGGGAATTAATTTCTTCCCGTTTTTCTTCTTATTCTACTGAGCTGAGGCAGTGTCAAATCGAGCTGTCATAACTGATACCACCTTGTATTATTGCATCACGGTGATTATAGTTGTGTTTAATGAAACCGAAAAAAGTGCAGAGCAGCTCAAGTTAGAGCAGAATAGAGCAGCTCTCAAAAAAACAATAGAGCAAGTTAGAGCAACTCAGATCATAAATCTCATGAAACACTTTTCAGGCAGAAATTCTCAAAACAGTTGATTGCTCGACAGTTCAATTCGTCAATTGTAAAGTGTTTGTGTGTGTTTGCTTGCTCTAAGTTACTCCATCAAAAAAGCTGGTGCAGAAAATCGTGATCTAAGTTGCTCTAGTTCCACTTAGCGCAGGCTCATGAAACGAAAAGTAGAGTAAGTTAGAGCAAGAAAAATTCTCATGAAACACAATTTTGTGAGATATCTTAACCTGGCATAACCTAGAGCAGCTCATTAAACACAACTTATAATTACTTAGGGTTAACACCGGACAATACTGTCATGACATTAGCAATACATGCGCACTTTTGACAACTAATACGTATTTCTTTGTTGTCTTAACAGCATTGTCCAAACTTTTTTTGGGTAAAAGATTGTCGTAAGCGCGATTTTGACGATTTTTAGTTAAAGATGCAGTTTTCGACTATGTTCAAACAGGCACCTTATTGGTAATTAGCCGCCATATTCCCACACCACTGACAAAACTCAGCGGCTGACTATTGCCTTTACTACTGCGCCTAATACTATGCCTCAAATTTATTTTAAGCTGTCGTATGACAATTGTCAGTTTTATTGTTATGACCTACTGAGTAAGTGACAACGGCGAAACAATGTTTATATTGTGTTTTAGGCGCAGTAATTGTGACAATAGTCATATTATGAATTTTGTCAGTGTTGTGGGAATAGGGCGGTAAGAACCTTTTTAACAATTTAGGCCTTAATTGTTACGCAATTTATCATACGAAAATTCAAATTATTAATTGCCAATTAATAATTAATTGGCAATTAATTTGTGTCAGATTCTCTATGCAACCCTGCTAGGTATGTTTAATTTTGACTTGGAGATATGTTTATTGAACAAAGAGCAAACAGCTGTTTGTTTCTGGTCCTCTTTACAGCTGATATTCCATCAGGAATTGAAAATTGAATTATAAAATTGTACCTAATTTACGGAAACTTTACCTAAAAGTAGATAGATATACCTAAAAAGTAAATAATGTAGGCGTTTTATATGTACACGTCTTTCCGCTTTGATGCTCGGATGGATTATGATTTGATTGCATGGCCAGTGTTACCTGACCGTCATTCTTTTACAAATATTGTTGACTGACCAGGTTTGCCAGACTGTTATAAATAGTTATTCTAATACAATATGTGGATATAATCTACTACAGCTCGGCCAACCTGATCAAGGTGATCGGCCTCGATCACATTATCCGAGTGTTCATATCTAGTGTATGTACAGGCTAATATCAAAAGTAATTACTGATGGTCAAGTGTCGCTTTGTTTGGTTTTGCATTTTCTCATATTACAGGCTTCGATTACGCCGTCATACGGAATTTGTGTTATTTGCCCATTCTCTATATCTCTTACTACATAGCGATCGTTTGGAAGCTTTTTGTGAATCACGTAGGGACCTTTGAATTTTGGCAGAAGTTTTTTGTTGACCTCCACCGTTGTATCAACGTTCTTAATTACCACGAGGTCTCCTAACTCAAAATCATTTACCCTGCTTCTTTTCTGCTCGTTTCGCTCTAAGTTGTAGTTTTGAACTCTCAGAATGCATTCTTCTGCGTTGCTTCGTATAGTCTTCAAATCCCTCCCCCCGGGGCCAGAAATGTGCTCGTCCAGGTATTCTGAAAGCTTATCTACAGATTCACCTCTTTGATTTACACCGTAGAGGGCTT